CCCCCCGCCCCCAGCCACTCTGCGGCATGTGGGATCTTCCCGGACTGGGGCATGAACCCATGTCCCCTGCGGCAGGCGGACTCTCCACTGCGCCACCAGGGAAGCCCCAGGCTGTCCATTTGACCACCTCGTCCAGCCTGTGATTTTCTCCTTTTGTCCCAACGTTTCTCTACCATCTTCTAACCACCAACCATCTAGTCAGTGATCACCTGTCTCACTCTCCTTAAGTGTGTTTTTGTGGCACTCTCAAAATGTAGAGAAAAAAACCAAATAACCACACTGTTCTGTGACCTGCACATCCTAAGTCAGAGGAATCATCACTGAAGGTAGTCAGGAGCCTGTCCTGACACTTGTCTTAACTTTGAATGTTTCTTTTCAAAGGTGCTAAAAGCCTATCTGCTAAGTGTGAAACTTTCTCTACTCTCTGAAATGATTCAAACACACTAATTTTCCATACTTTGTACTTTTGTTAGAATAATACATTATTCCAGTTAAAAAATATATATATATCCCAGACATTCTTTCCCCCAATAGTGTGTGTGTGTGTGTGTATGTGTGTGTGTGTATGTAGCGGGGGGAATAGATAAGAAAAAATTAGCAAAACACTGATAAATGTTGAAGCTGGGTGATGAGTACTTGGAATTTCATTGTACTAAGTCTCCCTACTTTTGTATATGTTTGAAAATTTCCATGAAAAAAAGTTTTTAAAAGATAGGAAAAAAGAGAATTTGTAAAGGAGCATTAAATAATCATGTTTCAAGATATTTGAGAACTTAAGCCAATAGTCATATTGCTATCTGTAGAAATCTAGCTCAATAAATGTTTACTTTCTATGTGTCATTTTTAAGTGCCCTTAAAAAAACACATTTTAGCATTGGAAACACATGCAAATAAAAATTACAATAGAATATGGTAAGATCTAATAATAGACTTATAAAGTATAGCAGAAATACTAAGGGACGGAGTGATTCACTCTACAGGAAAAGGAGACTAGGGCAAAGAAGTCTTCTTAGATGAGGTGGTAGAGACTGGATTCTGAAGGAAGAATACAAGTTTACCAGGAAGACAAGCAGAGGGGAAAATATTTTCAGCAGAGAGAACATGTGGAAAAACATGGACAATTACAGATCGGCCAGATGGACTCCAGTAAGAAGAGTTTGAAAATTATCGAAAGTTCTAAATACTAGTGTTACAAAGATTTAGAGAGGGCCGTTCATTGAAGATTGAAGGAGAACTTAGATTAAACATGAATGCTTCCTGTGAGGTAAAGACATCAAATTGTTAACTGTGGTGATTTCTGAGTGGAAGGATTAAGGACATTTCTGTTTCTCTATATTTGCCAGGTTTTAAAAAATGATTGTGTATTTATAAAATAATTTTCCCACTCTTTTCATATCTATAGATAAAATACCCAATTCTTTGGAATTAAACTTATTTATCTCTAAGGATTCAGAGAACTTCAAATTTTTAAAGTATTTTTTATGTAAAAAAATTTTAAATCCATTTACTTAAAAGCACTTATTTTAATTTGAAGGATCTAATAAATGATGGGAAAGCACTTAGCATGTAACTGATCTGAATTCCTTGCATATAATCTGAAGGAAATTCATGATAAAAATATTAAACACATTAATGCTTATGAACCTTTTATCCAGTAAGTACTGCTTTAATTTCGTTTGCTGATTAGTTTTGCCATTCAAGAAACTCAGAACATTTTTCAATTAAACAAAAATAAAACCTAAGATTTGTGATAGGTTACACTAATCCCCATTTCTTTTAAAACATGTTATTTATTACTGCAAATTAGAAAGGTGGTTTCACTGAGTAGATAAAAGTTACCATACTTAAGACTTTTCAGAGGCTCTCCCGACCTATCTTCTTTGAAATCAAATGTGATATTTTTGTGTGAATATTTTCAGTTCCACAAAGAAAGATCCTGTAAGATGTTCCAGTTGTCAATTCTCACTTAAAAACTACCAACCATGTTTGTTGATACTTAAGTGAAATACTGAAAGAAAATTAATTGAAATGATAAAACTAAAAAATGAAAACATTTATATTTTGGAAATACTGCCACTTTTCATGCACATATAAAATTCACAGGGAATCAACTAGGCGCCAATGAAAAATAAAAAAAATTTTAAAATTCATAGGGAATTTAACATTTATAGTTATGTTGTCATTTTGCTGAAAATTTTAATATAAATGAAATATGAGAAAAGTCATAAAAGGATCTTATGTGAGTCAAGTGAGGCTTATTTTTACTTTGTTGGTGCCTCAACCTACAGGAACAACTCTTGGTTCATTTCAAGATTAAAGCAAACTTCAAAGAGAACTATTCATCATGAAACAAATAATATTCACTCTGGTTCCACCTCTATTTTCAGATTACTGTTTCTCATCTGTACAACGAGTAAGTGCCAAGTGCAGAAAATACAGCAGTTAAGATTTTTCAAAGTTTCTGTAGAGAGGATACCTGGGTTTGGTAGCTGCCAACTGACCCCAAACTGCTTTACATGCATGTCACTTGAAATGTAAATATTAGCCCTAGTAGCAACTCAAAGCACTATAGATTCATCACCCTACTGTTCCTTTATTATTTGTCATACTAAATCATCTTATGTATTTTCCCTTATCAAAGTAATATAAACCACATTAAAAAAGTAAAATATAGGGAATTCCCTGGTAGTCCACTGGTTAGAACTCTGTGCTTCCACTGCAGGGGGCACGGGTTCGTCCCTGGTCAGGGAACTAAGATCCTGCATGCCGCGTGGTATAGTTCCCATCAAAAAAGTAAAATAGAAAAACAAACCATCCTATCATGTTAATATAGCCACTACTAGCATTACTTCAATTCACTTTAAGTGTGATTGGTCTTTTTTATTTTATTCAACACATCATAAGCATTTTTCTATATTAATACTGTCTTTGTAGCCATCATTTAAATGGCTGAATAAGATTTTATTAAGTGGCTTGGCCATAATTACTTAATTATATCTCTATCTTAGATGGTTATGTATTTTAAACCATTATAAACTATGCTATAATTACCATATTTAGCATCTTGCTTTTCCTATATTTGGATTTCCTTAGAATAAATTCTCAAACACTTAACATTTCCAAAGTACAATATATACTTCCAGAGGGAAGAGATATGGGGACATATGTATATGTATAACTGATTCACTTTGTTAAAAAGCAGAAACTAACACACCACTGTACAGCAATTATACTCCAATAAAGATGTTTTATATATATATATATATACACACACACACACACACACACACTTCCAAATTGCTTTGCAAAATGCATTAACAATATATGAGAGTGCCACTGCACCTTCACCAATGTGTATCAGTTTTATGCCCATATTTTACTAGGCTCTGTAGAACATACAGGCTTCGTTCATATAGTGAAATAAGATTGTACCTAAGACACTAATCAGCACTAACTCTGAACCACTAGGTGGAGCTAAAAATACAAATACACAGTCCTACCCCAGTATCCTTGGGGGAAGGGATCCAGGACCATTCCTCAGATACCACAATTTGAGGATGCTCAAGTCCCTTATCTAAAATAGTGTAGTGTTTGCATATAAGCCACACAGATACTCTCATACTTTAAATCACCTCTAGATTACTTACAATACTCTATACAATGTAAATGCTCTGTAACTAGTTGCTGGGGGCATGCGGCAGATGGCAGTTTTGCTTTTTAGAACTTTCTGGAATTTTCTTTCCCCGAATACTTTCAATCAGAGGTTAGTTGAATCCATGGATGCAGAACGCACAGGTATGAGAGGGCTGACTGTAAATAGTACTAATATTTCTCTCACAACACTATAGGGAGTTTTCACTTCAGTGATAATTTTTTGAAGCATAAGAGACAGAACTTTAGGTTGAATTTTAATAAGCAAGTTGGAATCAGACAGATTTATGAAATCTGTACATGGGACAAACGAGATTTTTCTCAAAATTTATATGTGTTTATATCTTTCCCATATTCAATGAGAAACATAAGTGAGACAATTTTTAGAGGCAAGTACCTCTTGAAGAAGCCAGTAATGAGAGCTATGCCAGAAAAAGAGTAACATCTTATTTAGGTGGGTTTTTTAAGAATGTATTTTTTTTTTTTTTTTTTTTTTTTTTTTCCTTGCGTTATGCGGGCCTCTCACTGTTGTGGCCTCTCCCATTTGCGGAGCACAGGCTCCGGACGCGCAGGCTCAGGGGCCATGGCTCACGGGCCCAGCCGCTCCGCGGCATGTGGGATCTTCCCGAAACGGGGCACGACCCCGCGTCTCCTGCATCGGCAGGCGGACCCTCAAGCACTGCGCCACCAGGGAAGCCCAAGAATGTATTTTTTAATTTAATAAGGAATTCTATTTTTATCACAAGAACTGCAGGAAACAGAGGAAAATCTATGGAGCAATGGTCTAGAAACCATGACAACTTTGATTAAGTTAGCCAAGTACTAACATACAAAAGGATCAATGGAGCTAAGACTATCACCTGTCGGGAACTTATGGCTCAGGAATTCTGGAACATAGCTCTGAACCCTAAATACAATTATATTCTACTACTTCTCATGGCAAAACTTTCCTCTTTATCTTTCAAAATCTAAAAATCTTCTGTCCATCAGTCTTTCCCCAAAATATACACACACACACACACACATGCACACACACACACACACACACAAACACACACACGCACAGCTATAATACCTTAAAGGATGGAAAGGAAGTGAATCTGGGGATATTAGTTCTATTCTCTAATATATCTGACAAAGAATAAGTGAAAAAAGAGAGAAAGAAAGAAAAAAAGATACATCTAGAAGTAACATTTTCAGCTTGTGTAGAACTGGCTTTACCTTCTGTCCCCTAGAACTCTTCCACCAATCTGTATAGTTCCAGGCCCCGGATAGAAGAGTAAAGTATATACTCCAGATCCTTTGCCCCTGCCTCTCTCAGGCAATTACTAAAGTTCTTTTTCTTCACTATCCAAGTTTTTCTCCAATCTCTTTAGGTAGAGCTAGGTACACAAAAAAAGTGAGGAACATGGAGCCAGAGCTACTCTCTCACAATTCACCTGTCTTCACATAACACCATATCCTTCCTCTAGCAATTACTACTTAACTATATTCCTCTGATGTTTAGAATTCATTAATTATAATAAGGTTTATTACTGAAACAATAATTTTAAAGAAAAACACTACCAAAACTAGAATTAAGGAAATATGGTATGGTGAAAACAACCTCTGTTAATGTGAAAATGTATTTATAAAATGTTTCTGATGAAGGCAAATACTAGCACAATTAACTTCCTTCTATTATCTATACCTTTTGTTCTAAGAGTGCCCTGCGGAGGGAGACCCTCTGTTCAAGTTCCCGAAGCTCTCGATCATGTTGTGCCTCAGCTTGCATCTTGATTTTGCTCTGATATGCATTTAACAGCTCCAGTTCCTGCTGCAGCTGCATCTTTAAAACCTGGCACTCTGCTTCCTGTGCTTCATCCAAACGCAGCTGAAAGAGAGGAAAAAACCCAGATATATCCTACTGTGAGCTATTTACCCATGACCTATGGAAAGGAGGTGTGAGAAAAGACAGACAACTCTTTTGTAGGATACACTATTGTTCTCTCTTGTATCTTGGAGTAAACATCTCTGAAAAAGCAAGGCACAGAAACCAGTGATGGTAATATGAAGATAAAAGCTATCATAATCTATTAGGAGGATGCCTGAATAATTATATTTTTCTTAAGAAAAATCTAGAATCTGATTAGCTGATGTAAAGACTCTCAATCTCTTCCCTGCAATGGAAATAACTACAGAACAGGGACCAGCAAACTATAGCCTCCAGACCAAATGTGGACAGCTGCCTGTTTTAATTAATTAATTTGATAGCCCACTAGTTAAGAATGGCTTTTACATTTTAAATGGCTATATAAGTACCCATATAATTATCCTCAATTTTGTATCACGGACTACAAAATCTAAAATATTTACTATCTGGCCCTTTAAGAAAAAGTTTGCAAAACTCATATAGAAAATATTTTGTATTTGCCTTCACTAAAATGTGACCATTTGGATCCCCAATACAGTACTACTTTTTGCTCACTGCTTAACAAAGCTGCTGCTCTAATCCTCCTATACCGTTGGGATATGTGCTGAACACCTGAGAGGCAGTGGCAGAGAGCCTATTTAGAACCTCATGACTAAATGTATCAATGAGAATTCTATATAAATCATGCCTACCTCCAAGCAATGCAGAGAACAGGAAAAATATAGATAACCACCACTATTTCTCAAGCTGTAGGAGAGCTATCACTTCCAACCAGTATTTTAATTGCTGGGATTTCATTCAGGTGGTGGGATGAAAGGGGCACTGAATTTGTTTTGCTTAAATAAAACGAACTCACAGCTTGGGTGGACAGCATTTCATTAATGCTGTGGTCATACTGTTCAGCCAAGATGGCTAACTTCCGGGTCTGCTCCTCCTTGAGACGTTTCAGAACAGCTTTGTGCTCACTCTTTGGTGTAGTCTCCAGTAGGTGATTTCTTAATGCTTTGTACTGTCTGGTTTGGATTTTGCAGGTGTCCTGAAACTGCTTTTTTATTTGGAGTTCTTTAGACTGGGAAGGAAAAAAAGATGTATATAATTTTTAACATATGGCATTTGTATACCTTATGCTTATATGAAAATAAAGGCTACTAGGAGACAAGGAGATGAAAAACAAAAAGGTCAGACCATAAAGTTGCAGGTACAGTACTTTTCCACTTGGTTATTAGGTCAAACCATTACATTCTATGTATTTTTGTAACAAAATCACTAATTTAAAACAGTAGAATATCAAGAACCTTACTTTTTTCATAGGACTTCAAGTAATACTCATTATTTTACTAGTACATTTAGTTACAAGTAAATTTTTTTTATAGATTTTTTTGATGAGGACCATTTTTTTTTTTTGCGTTACGCGGGCCTCTCACTGTTGTGGCCTCTCCCGTTGCAGAGCACAGGCTCCGGACGCGCAGGCTCAGCGGCCATGGCTCACGGGCCCAGCCGCTCCGCGGTATGTGGGATCTTCCCGGACCGGGGCACGAACCCACGTCCCCTGCATCGGCAGGCGGACCCTCAACCACTGCGCCACCAGGGAAGCCCGATGTGGACCAATTTTAAAGTCTTTATTGAATTTGTTACAATACTGCTTCTGTTTTATGTTTTGGTATTTTGGCCGTGAGGCATGTGGGATCTTAGCTCCCGACCAGGGTCTGAACCTGCACACCCCCTGCATTGGAAGGTGAAGTCTTAACCACTGGACCGCCAGGAAAGTCCCAGTGGCACCACTCTTAAATACTGTCCTTGGTTAACAAAATTCTTCCAAGTTAGCCAGGAATGGGACAATGACATTTAGACATTCTCTTCTACCTCTGTATAACAGTCTCTATTCTTTTAAAAGTTTTTATTTTTAAAACATTGTGCCAAGAAAGCTAATCATTCCACATCACTAGCCTAATGAGGGGGAAAAAAAAAGCTCCTTGAAAAATGTTTTTTCTATAAGAAGAGTAATACTTGTACCAAGGATAAACTACATCCCTCAATGTTTGACTCAAGTGAAAGCAAGAGGAATGTAAGTTACAGTTGTTTCTACTCATTTAACACTGACAAAACATCATCTGGATGCCAGATGAAGAAACAACAGAGCAGGCGTATATCCAACCCATTCCATAGACATAATACCCAAAACCCCCCCACCCCAAATCCTACTCAAATTACGTAAGTGCTAAAACTGAAGTCCCCCTACCTCCCTTTAAAGTCCTGGAAAAAGTTGGAAGAGGCAACCATTACTTAGGTAAATAAAAACATCTATTACACAAAAACATACAGTTTTAAAAACTGAATAACATACATTATAGGCATATAATGTGCTTTCTTCACCTAACAATATAATGGATATATATCCAGATCAGATCAGTATATACAGATCTTTTTTTTTTAAGTTTCATAGTAAGCTTCTGCTTTGCAATACCATAATTTTCCCCTTTGTCAAGAAGCTTAGGCTAAAGGTACCTTCAGACTCTTAGGCTGTTGTCGAACCTCCATGACATGCTTTCGCCTTAGTTCTCGTTCTCTTCGCTTATTATATTCCAGCTGGTTAGTGAGCTCAGTTTGATGCTGCAGTCTGATCAACTCACAGCGCATCTTCTGAATTGTGTTGAGGTGGCGGAACTCCAGTTCTTGCATGGACTCATGCTGTCGCAGCAGCATGGCGTGCTCTAAGTCCTTTTGAGTCTGTCTTTTATTTAACTCCTAATCCATAACACAAAAGACAAAGGTATAATTTATTGCTGTACAATGCTAGGAAAAAACCTCCTAAGAAATAGATTAATCAGGAAGTAGATGTAATCCTCAGATTCAATAATGACTGCATAGTAAATATTAGATTTTACAACCTTTACGGCAGTAAATGGGCAATTAGTAGCACCAATTTCCTTATTCTATTCATTTACTATTCATTAATACTATTTTATGCAATAAGCTTAAGACATAACAAATCTATCTCAGTAGGCTGAATGTCCTTCCTTCTTTCTTTTCTTTCTTTATTGTTTCCCAATTTTATATTTGAAGAGAACTCCTAAGTCATTCTTTGAATTTCTTCAGAGTATCCTATTCAATTCTATTACAGGCAGTATACCCAGCACAGTACAGTGGATAAGAACATGGATCTGGCTCTGCTACCTATGAGCAGGCCTTGGGTTAATTGTTTAAACTCGCTGTGCTTCAGTTTCATCACTTTTCAAATGAAGATAATAATATTTCTATTTCACAGATTTAATGTGAGGATGAAGTGAGTTCATAAATGGAAAGTTCTCAGAACAATATCTTGCACATGCTGCTCAATAGATGTTCTTTTTTTTTCAGATTAAAAAGAACAAGCATAAAACACACACACACACACACACACACACACACACAAGTCAAACCTACCCCCTTTGCCCCTGCAAACCCTTTCTCCAGAGGCCAACAGTTTGGTGCAAATGCTTCCCAACCTTCCCCATGCTTATCGTGAAACATCTATTACACAAAAACATACAGTTTTAAAAACTGAATAACATACATTATAGGCATATAATGTGCTTTCTTCACCTAACAATATAATGGATATATATCCAGATCAGATCAGTATATACAGATCTTTTTTTTTTAAGTTTCATAGTAAGCTTCTGCTTTGCAATACCATAATTTTCCATTTTTTGCTTGATAAAGAAATTTTCATTAAATGTTTATTCATGATGCATCATATAATCATGTTATTATTTCTTTAAGATAGAGTTCTAGAAGTGGATTTGATAGATAAAGGCATATCTATCAATATATCAGTATCAATTTATATTCTTAGCAACACTGCACATTTCCCAATGCACTATTCAATGTTGCTAGTCTTTTAAATTGTTCTTATTTAATTGATGCAACTGTTTTAATTTGAATTTATTTAATTATTAGTGAATTTGAACAATTATGCTATACTTGAAGTTTATTTTAAGCCACTCTTGTAAATAAATTAATCTGTGCTCACAGGTATCCCTGATAGTGAGAATATGTTTTCACTGGCATAAGAGTTTCTACATTTGCCCAATTAATAATTACATGATTATAAAAAATGTGTTAAATGATAACACATTCTTAATGGCACCCATTTCAGTTCAAAAGGTATAAAGTATCCAATAATTTTATGGTATTTAAAAATGAACACCCCTCTCATTCATAGATTTAATATGTATTTAATAAATATTTATTGAATACCTACTATGGGCCAGATACTAGGGGGACAAAACCAGTGACTTTAGAAAATTTCCATTCTAGGCAGGACGAGAAACTTACCCCCCAAAAGTGTGTATGTGTAAGAGAGAGAAGTGCAGAGAAGAACGTTTAAAGAAGGATTTGGACATTAGGGAAGGCATTTCTGAGGAGGTGGTATCTGAGGAGAGACATGAAGGGAGGAAGCAAGCTATGTAGATAATCTAGGGAAGAAGAATTCAGGCTGAGGGAGGTACAAGTGCAAAGACCCTGAGTCTGGGAAGTGACAAACATACTTTCAGGAAATATTCTCGTTTCAAACGTACCTCCCTGACAAGGTCCTGTTCTAAGTTATGGCGCCCAAGTAACATTCTTCTCTTGAAGCGACGGCATTCCAGCTCTAGGTATTGTCTCTGACGCCGTAGAAGATTAGCCTCTTCTTCTGCTTGGAAATGCTGTATATTCTCCTTCTGCTTTGAAAGCCACTCCTGTTTTTCTTTTTTGGGGGTGCTCTGATTTTCATTCAGCTCCTGGCAACATAAAAAACAACTCAGTTCAGGCTTCCCTGGTGGCGTAGTGGTTGAGAGTCCGCCTGTCGATGCAGGGGATAGGGGTTCATGCCCCGGTCCGGGAAGATCCCACATGCCGCAGAGCGGCTGGGCCCGTGAGCCATGGCCGCTGAGCCTGCGCGTCCGGAGCCTGTGCTCCGCAACGGGAGAGGCCATAACAGTGAGAGGCCCGCGTACCGCAAGAAAAAAACAAAAACAAAAAAACTCAGTTCAAAATACATAAAAATTAATTGCATGAATATATCACCTGGTATTTGGTGCATTTAAATAAAAGTACTTAATCTGTGTCCTTTCTAATGCTCAAAGCAGGGCAATGACCTGAAGGAGGCAGGTAATATTTTCCTTTTCTTGAGTTAACCGGTGAAGTAGGACAGGAAAGAGAAATGTATGCTAGAGAACATGCATACCTTTTAGCTTTACACAGCTACATTTATGATGGTTCCCAGCTTTAAAAGAACACAATAGTGGTAAATGAAGTAAAACACATCATTCTTTAAATGCTTCCAAAGAAGAGACATAAGGCCGTGCTTTCAGGTAAAAATTATTTATATGAATTAATATTAGGGCAAAAATACATCTAATGTGTCACTTCTTGGTTTCTGACATTCTAAATATTAAGTTTTTGGCAAAATTATGGATAGACTCAGTATAAAAGACTTAGAAATTAAATGGAAAATCAACAAAACCATGGGAGAATAGAAACCCTTTTTATGAATCATATTTAACTAAACAAATCAAAACCAGTGCTTTTCTATAGCATTTAAAATATCACCTTCCATGGTCCTGTGGACACAAGGTGGGGGGAAGGGAAGGGGAGGGTAGGAAGAATTCGGAGATTAGGATTAACATATATACACTATCATGCGTAAAATAGAGAGCTAGTGGGGAACATGCTATAAAGCACAGGAAACTCAGCTTGGTGCTCTGTGAAACCTAGATGGGGGAGATGGGGGGGATGAAGGTGGGAGGGAAGTCCAAGAGGGAGGGGATGTAGGTATACATATAACTGATTCACTTCATTGTACAGCAGAAACTAACACAACATTGTAAAGCAATTATACTCCAATAAAAAAATAATAAAAGTGAAAATAAAATATTACCTTACATGTGGTACATATATACAACGGAATACTACTCAGCCATAAAAAAGAATGAAATAATGCCTTCTGCAGCAACATGGATGGACACAGAGATTATCATACTAAGCAAAGTAAGTCAAAAAGAAAAAGACAAATACTATATGATATCACTTATATATGGAATCTAAAATATGACACAAATGAACGTATCTACAAACAGAAACAGACTCAGGTATAGAGAACAGACTTGCTGGTGGTGGTGGGGAGGGAAGGACTGGGAGTTTGGGGTTAGTAGATACAAACTATTACATATAGGATGGACAAACAACAAGGTCCTACTGCATAGCACAGGGAACCATATTCAATATCCTGTGATAAACCATAATGAAAAAGAATATACATATGTAGAACTGAGTCACTCTGCTGTACAGCAGAAATTAATACAACACTGTAAATCAACTATACTTCAAAAAATATATATATATTATCTTACAAACTATCTAAATGAAAATGCATTTATATTGGGCCAGATGAGAACACTGACAATGCACTCAATGAGGCAAACTCTAGGATGATAATTAATACTAATGTATCTTCAACCTAAAAAGCAACAATGTTGCACAGTATATAAATAAGCCATCTTTCCTAGGTATAAGATAACTTTTCAAAGACTACTAACCTTATGGTCCTCCCCCTGGTTTTCAAGAAAGAGATCAGTTCTTTATAACTTTAGTTCATAAGATATACAAACACATAAAAATAATTTTAGTAGTTCTAAACTTAAGGGTATATGTGTACACACACTATGGGAAGAGTAAGGGCACATAAATAATCACCTGGGTATATTTTTCAAAATCTTTTGCCAGGGAACTTCTCCACTAAGATTCTAGTATATCCCTTCCTCTATGCTAAAAATGATTGTTTTAAATGAACTCACACACATAAATACACACTAATTTGGCTTCTAAAAGAAAACGAATTTATTAGCTGGACTACCTGTTATATGCCTAAAGGATTACCTAAAGCAATGCACCCATAAAACTAAAATCTCATTTCACTGGGAAACAGATCTGTAAAACTGCATTTTGTTGGATATTTATTTACAGTTGGGGACCTATTTACAGTCTTTTCAAACCCAATGTGCCAATATAGAATTTGGCTTTTGTATTACAGTCACAGGAATATATTTAAGGTTATACCCTTTAGAGTTAGAAAAATCTTTTCAATGAAGCTCAGTTGGCAGCGTATATAGAGCAAGCTTTTGTGCCAACAATATGTCCATGATAACATTTAAATAAGTGACTATAAATTCCTACACAAACAAAAGCGTTACTAGCAAAGAGATTACTATTATTTTATCAAGACCAATTAATTTATCAGTGCCCTAATAATTAATTACATGGACTAAAAATTTCAGTCAATCAGTCTGTAAAAGGGGGTCTAAATTGAGACATATCATTTCTCTCTCCTGACTACTATCCTGAATAGTTACCCCCTTTCAGAAACTGCCTTGGAACAATCAAGGTGTTCTTCAAAGTCAGACTACATCTGTTTTTAAAAGAAGTTCAAAAATGCAGCACAGGGGCTTCCCTGGTGGCGCAGTGGTTGAGAGTCTGCCTGCCGATGCAGGGGACACGGGATCGTGCCCCGGTCCAGGAGGATCCCACATGCCGTGGAGCGGCTGGGCCTGTGAGGCATGGCCGCTGAGCCTGCGCGTCTGGAGCCTGTGCTCCACAACGGGAGAGGCCACAACAGTGAGAGGCCCGCGTATAGCAAAAAAAAAAAAATCGGCACATGGAGAGCAAATAAATATGAAATCGTGGAATCATAAATAAATAATTAGCATGTTTTGCTATTAAAGAAAATGTGATGAGCAAATATGCCTCTTATCCTTACTCTATGAACAAATTATTGTAATCTTCTGAGCCAAAAGTAAGAAGGTATGGTCTAATTTTTTTCTTTTTTTAAATTTATTTATTTATTTATTTTTGGCTGCAATGGGTCTTTGTTGTTGCACGCAGGCTTTCTCTAGTTGAGGCAAGCAGGGGTACTCTTCGTTGCAGTACGTGGGCTTCTCATTGCGGTGGCTTCTCCTTGCAGAGCATGGGCTCTAGGCGCGTGGGCTTCAGTAGTTGCAGCACACAGGCTCAGTAGTTGTGGCTCGCGGGCTGTAGAGCGCAGGCTCAGTAGTTGTGGCACACGGGCTTAGCTGCTCCACGGCATGTGGGATCTTCCTCAAGCAAGGCTCGAACCTGTGTCCCCTGCACTAGCAGGCGTATTCTTAACCATGAGCCACCAGGGAAGCCTGGTATGGTCTACTTTTAGAAAAAGAAATGTGTGGCTTCCTTTCACAGCTCAAGTATATTTTTGGGGGGACTCCCTTCCTCCCCAAAGTAGCGGGGGCTGGGGCAGGAAAGGGATGCGGCAGGTGACAATTAGGGCCTGGCCTCACCCTCCCTCCCTCAGCTGCCCCCGCCCTGCCAGTGCCCCACCTCCGCATTGTGGCTCCCCTGTAACCTCCTTTAATCTCATCTGTCTCAAGGGGAGCTCTGTCTGTCCGCGTTATTTATTGCTACCCCTGCCTGGTCTCTTGCCCCCACACCTGGCCCCAGGGCCTGTATGGAGGGACATGAAATAAATGTCCTGAAGCCCGATACCCGTCTAGATCCTGATGATTTCAGAATTGTCCTTGGGGAGCCTGCCACCCGCCTCCTTGCCCTTTCCTGGGTCCTCAGGGATTCTAGCCCTGAGCCCAGGCCAGCTGCCCTTAAGCTGCTTCCACATCGATCACAGCTCAAGTATTTTATTTCTAGAGAGTCAGTTATTTAGTAAGTGCATACGAAAACTATTATAAATAAAATAATTTATATTTTTAGGAGATGATTCTTTTTAGATCCTACCCAATTGAAGATATCTGTTGAAGAGTAACTGTTGAAGAGTAACTGATTAAAGGTTGCCTTCATTCAAAATGGTAAACATTTAGTGGCCACAAACAACAAAAGAAGAACTTATCCTAATGGTTCTATGAGTCAATCAACATCAATAGATAAAATCAATAAGTAGACAACTGGCGTGAAAATTTTTATAAAATAGATACCTCCTTAAGCTGTTCTTTTCGAAGTTTATATTCTCTTTTCTGGGACTCCAAAAAGCTGTTTAGTTCTTTCTTCTGTTGGGCCTGAATATGTTGCTGAAATTTTTTCTCTTCATTGGCCATCACTTTAGCCTATGGGAAATTTAAAAAAATGGATCAAATTAGTTAAGTAGATTCAAAGCAACAGTTTAATATATACCACTAAGGATATTTTTCCTCTTAAGAACATAAAATCAGTATAAGCATTATCAATACCAATTACTCAGCATCTTATTATTTGAATTTCAGAGAACCAGTAAAATGGAACTCATCTTTAATATGTTGATCTTTTACAGAATCAAAATGTTTTCACCTTTTTAAAAATTTAACATGTCCTCCCCCAAGAAAATAAAACAAATATATATCTATCCACAAATATAATTAAGTCACGACCCTTTATCTAGATTGATTTGTATATTAAATAATGTAATATACTCCTCTTCAAATTAAACCCTGACCTTTTTTTTTTTTTTTTTTTTTGCGGTCCGCGGGCCTCTCACTGCTGTGGCCTCTCCTGTTGTGGAGCACAGGCTCTGGACGCGCAGGCTCAGCAGCCATGGCTCACGGGCCCAGCTGCTCCGCAGCATGTGGGATCTTCCCAGACCGGGGCACGACCCCGTGTCCCCTGCATCAGCAGGCAGACTCTCAACCACTGCGCCACCAGGGAAGCCCCAAAACCCTGACCTTTAACTTATATATTAAGTAATATGAAAATGTTAAATATTAGATACATATTATACTGTTTTATTTTTGATTATATAGGCAATGCATATTCATTGTACATCATTTAGGAAATACAGGAAAACACAAAAAAATCTTTTATGATTTTACCACCCAGAGATAACCAATATAAACATTTTGGTGCACACCCTTCCTATTTACTTCTATGCATACATACATTTAAAATAAATCTGTAATCATATTACACATCCTGTTTCATGATTTGCTTTTCTAAATATGTATCTACCTCTTCCCGAGTTATTAAAAATACTACCCAATGTCCTACAGGATTCTAAATATCTATACATTCTTTCATCAAATTACTTCAAAAGCAAATAATTATTTACTCTGTAAATTATTTTGCCAAATTCTCTATTGTGAGAGAGTAGTTCTACTATTTTGGGGGGAAAGGCTGAACAGGGTAACTATAATAAATAATGCCTCAATGTGGACAAGCCAGACACATTTCTAGATATTGTGTGAATTTACAGAGAAGCTTACATTTTACCTGACAAGTGTGACTATCAAAATAAAATTTAACTGATGGGACATCAAAAACATTAAAAGAAAAGTTCTCACATAACAAGAATCCTAAAAAAATATACTTAAATCATATAGTAAAATGACACTTATTTGTAAAAAAACAAATGGGCTGGGACTTCCCTGGTTGTCCAGTGGTTAAGAATCGGCCATCCAATGCAGGGGACACAGGTTCAATCCCTGGTTGGGGAACTAAGATCCCACATGCTGCAAGGTAACTAAGTCCACGTGCCTCCACTAGAGAGCCCGCGTATGGCAAACTATAGAGCTCAAGGGCTCTGGAGCCCACGTGCCACAACTACAGAGCCCATGCACTCTGGAGCCCATGCACCACAACCAGACAGAAGCCTGTGAGCCACAACGAAGACCCCGGGCGCCACAACGAAAGATCCCGCGTGCTGCAGCGAAGATCCTACATGCCGCAATCAAGACCCAGCACAGCCCAAAATGAAAAAAAAACACCAAAAAACAAATGGGCTGGGACTTCCCTAGTGGCGCAGTGCTTAAGAATCCGCCTGCCAATGCAGGGGACACGGGCTCGAGCCCTGGTCTGGGAAGATCCCACATGCCACAGAGCAACGAAGCCTGTGTGCCACAACCACTGAGCCTGAGCTCTAGAGCCTGTGTGCCACAACTACTGAGACTGTGTGCCACAACTACTGAAACCCGCACGCCTAGAGCCCGTGCTCTGCAACAACAGAAGCCCTGAACTGCAACAAAGAGTAGCCCCCACTGGCTGCAATTAGAGAAAGCCTGCGTGCAGCAATGAAGACCCAGTGCAGCCATAAATAAATAAATAAATAAACATTAAAAAAAAAAACCCCACAAATGGGCTAAATCTTAATCTGAACCTCTTTTATTATCTCTAACATTCTCTGTAATCTTCAATTATTCTCTGATATTAAAATGCTGCTATAAATTTAAGATAGGTCTCCAAAAACCACAGAGAAGAGAATCATGAATGATTTTTCGAGACCTAAATCACCTATTGATAGGTGATTAACAAACTCCTCAGATAATCAGGGTATCTAGGGCCTAGAATGGTTGCATGATTTACCCACTGTGATACTATAAAACTATCAGTGTCAGGAAATAATCCCACATCTGTTGCTTCCCAGACTCAGTACTTGATATTACACAATTTATATAAATGTTTCTTCTTTTCCCCAAGTGATTTACTTGGTTCTGGGGAAGATATATCCTAACATCAAAATGCCATCTTGGTTAATTCTGAGATGGTTACAATCTAGAGTAAATAAATTAGTAATACTGAATCGGCCACCTCTTTTTCCATAGCGGCCTGATGTTTCTTGATAAGTTTCTCCATTTCTGCAGCAAAATTGTTACGTTGTGTTTCAAGATCTTTGTCTAATCTGAGGCGATGTTCATCCATCTCAGCCTTTAACTTATTTTCCAGAGTCATCAGCTGCTTTTGATGTTGCCGCCTCATTCTCTTATAGCCAGACATTTGTTCTCTAAGCTCAGAGTCCTGCTCATGTTCTTGCATTTGCCTTGTAACCTAGACACACAAACAATGGAAAGAAAAGAATAAAATTAAGGAAAACATTTTTATTTCAGAAGCATTTTAGAGCACTCTACTACTTAGCCAAGTAGACAATCACTGTAAGAGATTCCAGTGAGCAGCTTCCAATTAAATTTCCAGGCGGTCTCCTAAAGAAATAGACACGCTGGTCCTAAAATTTATATTGGAATGTAAAGGACCTACAATAGCCAAAACAATCTTGAGGGAAAAAAAGTTGGAAGACACACATTTCAGTAATCCAAACAATGTGGAATTGGTGGAAGAATAGGCTGAACAGATCAAAGGAACAGAATAAAATCTAGAAATAGACCCAAATATATTTAGTCAATTGATTTTCCACCAAAAAGTCAATTCAAAGAGGAAAAAATGTGTTATCAAATTCTGCGGACGCAACTGGTTCTCTGTATATAAAAGCAAAAAAAAAATCTTGACTTCTGTATTACTCTATATACAAAAATTGAGAATGATTTGACATAAACACGAAATCCAGAATCATGAAGTAGGAAAAAAACCCAAAATATCTTCATGACCATAGCGCAGGCAAATATTTCTTGAGCAGGACACAAAAAGCACTGACTATAAAGACAAAAATGTAAAAACTGAATTTTTTAATTGAGGTAAAATTCACATAATATAAAATTAATCATTTTAAAGGGAACAACCCAGCAGCATTTAGTATATTCACGATGTTAGGCAACCATCACCTCTATATACTTAAAAGACAGCTGTTATGCAGCTGCTCCCCATTCTCCCCTTTTGGTAACCACCAACCTGTTTTCTGTCTCTATGGATTTATCTACTCTGGATATTTCATATAAATAGCATCATATAATATGTGACCTTTTGTGTCTGGCTTCTTTAATTTAGCATGTTTTCAAGGTTCATCCATGTTGTATAGCATGTATCAGTATTTCATTCCTTTTTGTAGCTAAATAATATTCCATTGTTTGCATATACCATAATTTGTTTATCCATTCATCCACTGGTGAATATTAATATCTGTGTTGTTTCCACTTTTTGGGTATTGTGAATAGTGCTGCTGTGAACATGTGTGTAGTGTACTTGTTTGAGTAACTGTTTTCAATTCTTTGGGGTATATACCTAGTTGCAGAACGGCTGGGTCATGTGGTAAATCTATGTTTAACTTTTTGAGGCATCATCAACTGTTTTTCACAGCAGCTGAACCATTTTACATTCCTACCAGCAATATACAGGAGTTCCAATTTCTCTGCACTCTCTCCAACACTTGTTATTTTGGGTTTTTTCCTTTTCTTTTCCTTTTTAAATTTATTTTTATTTATTTTTAAAATTTTTAAAATTTCTTTTTTTTTGTGGTACACGGGCCTCTCACCGTTGTGGCCTCTCACGTTGCAGAGTACAGGCTCCGGATGTGCAGGCTCAGCGGCCATGGCTCACAGGCCCAGCCGCTCTGCAGCATGTGGGATCCTCCCGGACCAGGGCATGAACCCGCGTCCCCTGCATCGGCAGGCGGACTCTCAACCACTGCACCACCAGGGGAGCCCTTTCCTTTTTTTTTTTTTTTTGCGGTACGCGGGCCTCTCACTGCTGTGGCCTCTCCCGTTGCAGAGCACAGGCTCCGGACGCGCAGGCTCAGCGGCCATGGCTCATGGGCCCAGCCGCTCCGTGGCACGTGGGATCCTCCCAGACTGAGGCATGAACCCGTGTCCCCTGCATCGGCAGGCGGACTCTCAACCACTGCGCCACCAGGGAAGCCCTCCTTTTTAAAAAAGATATCTGTACCTTCCTGTTCACTGCAGCGTTATTATTATTTTTTTAAATTAATTAATTAATTTATTTTGGGCTGCACTGGGTCTTCGTTGCTGCACACAGGCTTTCTCTAGCTGCAGCAAGTGGGGGCTACTCTTTCTTGTGGTGCACAGGCTTCTCACTGCAGTGGCTTCTCTTGCTGCGGAGCACGGGCTCTAGGCACACAGGCTTAAATATTTAAATAGTTGCAGCATGTAGGCTCAGGAGTTGTGGCTCACGGGCTCTAGAGCACAGGCTCAGGAGTTGTGGCGCAGGGGCTTAGTTGCTCCACGGCATGTGGGATCTTCCTGGATCAGGGCTCAAACCCGTGTCCCCTGCATTGGCAGGCGGATTCTAAACCACTGAGCCACCAGGGAAGCCCTAAAGCCATAACTTTTTAAGACTGTCCTTATGGAACTCCCTGGCGGTCCAGTGACTGGAATCCTGGTTGGAGAATTAACATCCGCAAGTCATGCAGTGCAGCACAACTAACTAACTAACTAACTGACTAACTAATTAACAGACTAAATAAATAAATAGTGTCCTTAATTAATTTGAGGGAGCCAAAATTTGAGACAGAAGGCTTGCTTGGGAAACACTTAATATGTGCCCAGTCACAAAGATGTTTTCCCACAAGCTGGCCCTTGTCCAGGTATTTATTAAAATAGTCATGAAAGGGCTTCCCTGGTGGCGCAGTGGTTGAGAGTCCGTCTGCCGATGCAGGGGACGCGGGTTCGTGTCCCGGTCTGGGAAGATCCCACATGCCGCAGAGCGGCTGGGCCCGTGAGCCACGGCTGCTGAGCCTGCGCGTCCGGAGCCTGTGCTCTGCAACGGGAGAGACCACAAGAGTGAGAGGCCCATGTACCGCAAAAAAATAAAAAAATTAAAAAAAAAATAGTCATGAAAAAAATTAAGCAATCATTGTTTGCTACTTGCTCTGTTCAAAGAATTATTTACATGTTGTAGAATAGTAGGAATGACTTGACTTATGGTAGGGGATGGTGTTCTTGACTTTAGACATCATTCAGATTCATGGGGCAGAGCATGGGATTTATAAGATCTGCTATGTAGTTGATAATTCAGATAACTCCCATATATTTTTTTCTTTCTGTCATATTTTCTAATAACCTATTTTCCCTTTGATATCTTAACGTATTTTCTTTCTATCCCTAGTAAGTATCCTTTATCATGTTTTGGACCTACATATCTGACCGATTAGGGTTATGAGTACCCCAGTATAACAACATCCTTGTAATGAACAAATAATCCATTTTTATTATTTGGGAAATCAGAAGAACTACATTTTGAGTACATCAAATTGGATTACTTGCTATTTCCCAAACATCCCCTCCCTCATTTTGGTCAATTCTTAGGTGGAAATTACATTTTTCCTCTCCCCCCGTGCCTAAAACCAACTAATTATTAAAGGCTCAGATGATTTATTTTATAAATACTCCCTTTATGCCCCAATTCAAAGGTAATCTGAATTCCTATTTAGTACCTTTTAGCCCTCTTAAGCTAATTCAATATATTCTAACATATTACTTATTTGTGTACACATCTCTCAGAGTGCTTTGTATAATATCTTTCTCATAAGAGGTAGTTAAATGTTGAATAAATGTTTTGCAAAATAAACCCCAAATAAAAAAAAAAAGAGATAATTATACTTGAGTATAGGTGCCAAGGTCCAACATGAAAAATATATTTCTAATTTGCAGTAATACATACCAGTGATGCCGTCCGTATAGTAGCAAAGTGTTCTCGATTACGGTAGTGTGATTTATGACGAGAAACTTGGGGTGGAGATTGTGGATCTGATGCCCTTGTTCTAGGATCTCCCTCTTCTCTGTAATTTTCTTCCTCCTAGGCAAAGAAACAGACATTACTACCTAAGGCCAACACAGTTCACGTGAACTTTCAAGAAAGTTAAAGTTTAAACACAACTTGATCAATAAATCTCAAAGACATAATTTTAAAAAGCAAAAACAAAAAATGGGAATGCTGACATTTTATTTTCAATGCAATTTGAATCAGGAGACATTATTTCCTCAGTGTATGAAATAGCACACAGATTCATGATAAGGAAATGTATATGGCTAGAGTTATTAACAGTCATTAAATGCAAAATTTAAAAGTTTTAACATAACTTTAAAACGAAGATAATAAAGCATGCAGCCAGTATTTTAAACAGCAGTAATAAAATTAATTACTCTAAGGCTCTTGGGTTTTAAAAGTAATAATATAGCCTAAAAAGATCTTTATAATACTTCTGCCATTTGTCCAACTAAACAAAAAAGTTATACAAATTTTGAGAACTTATGTCTTTCTTGACATATACCTTAGTTCATTAACTGAAGAGGAAGTCAACTAGCAACCAACTAATGGTGGGAATAATCTTTTTACAGCTAATCCTCTTACCTAAGAATATAAAAATTAAACACGATTTTTCACTAAATAACACTACTACTTAACTAAATCATTCTTGAAAACTGTGTGTTAAAACATTTGTGATATAAATTTTTCCATTTTAACCATTTTTACATATACAATTCAGAGGCGTTAATTATATTTTCAATGCTGTGCCACCATCCCCACTATTTCCCAAACTTTTCCATCACCCCAAATGGAAATTCTGTATCCATTAGCAAAAATTCTCCATTTCATCCTCCAGTCAGCCCCAGGTAACCTCTAATCCACTTTCTGTCTCTATGAATTTGCCTATTCTAGATAGTTCATATAAGTGGAATTATACATTACTTGTCCTTTTACATCTGACGTATATCACTTAGCATAATGTTTTCAAGGTTCACTAATGTTGTAGCACATATCAGAATTTCATTCCTTTTTACAGCTGAAAAATATTCATCGTATGTATATACCATGGCTTTGTTTATCCATTGATCTGTTGAGGAACACTTGGATTGGTTCCACCTTTTAGCTATTGTTCCTAATAACTTTCTAGGTAACATTAAGCTGTGAAGTTTAAAAGAAAGCATTCCTATTAACCGCTAAAAGGAGTTATCTGATCTTCAAATATTTTCAAGAAAATTCAAAATGTTGCATTTGAAAGTATGAAGACTAATGTACTAAACACCGGTATTTCCTAAACCCAGAATTTATATTTTTCATTAATTACACTAAATCTTAAAGATGCAAACATTATGGATAACGCAAAAGTCACTTTTGGTCACCACCCATCCTAACCCATTCTCCCACTCTTCAAAGGCAACTGTTATAATGAATTTCATGAGTAAACCTACTAGTTTTTTTTAATCTACTATTTTTAAATACTTTATTTTCCATCTAAGTAACTTCAAATAATACATTATACATAGTATTTCTGTATTTTTTCTTCTAAGATTTTTAAAAATATTCATTTTGTATTCTCAAAACATTAGTTTCCCAAATGCAGACATTACATTGGGAATTAACAAGCCTATTGCCATTCTAAAATAAGTTACCTAAAATTGTTCCAAACTTCTGAAACAGCAAAGAAAAAAAAAGAAAAATCTCAAAGGGGATTAGGAACCAAGTAAGTAGAAGGATGCGCTCTCACCCCCTCTTGCGAGAACACCAGAATCACAACTAGCTGCTGGACAATCATCGACAGGAAGACACAGGAACCCACCAAAAAAGACACCCCACATCCAAAAACAAAGAAGAAGCCAAAATGAGACGGTAGGAGAGGCACAATCACAGTAAAATCAAATGCCATAACTGCTGGGTGGGTGACTCACAGACTGGAGAACACTTTTACCACAGAAGTCCACCCACTCGAGGGAAGGTTCTGAGCCCCATGTCAGGTTCCCAACCTGGGGGTCCAGCAACAGGAAGAGGATTTTCTAGAGAATCAGACTTTGAAGGCTGGTGGGATTTGACTGCAGGACTTCGACAGGACTGGGGGAAACAGAGACTCCACTCTTGCTGGAGGAATCAGACTTCCTGACTTCAGACTATACTACAAAGCTACAGTAATCAAGACAATATGGTCCTGGCACAAAAACAGAAACATAGATCAATGGAACAAGATTGAAAGCCCAGAGATAAACCCATGCACTTACGGTCAACTAATCTATGACAAAGGAGGCAAGGATATACAATGGAAAAAAGACAGTCTCTTCAATAAGTGGTGCTGGGAAAACTGGACAGCTACATGTAAAAGAATGAAATTAGAACACTCCCTAACACCATACACAAAAATAAACTCAAAATGGATTAGAGGCCTAAATGTAAGACCGGACACTATAAAACTCTTAGAGGAAAACAGGAAGAACACTCTTTGACATAAATCACAGCAAGATCTTTTTGATCCACCTCCTAGAGTAATGGAAATAAAAACAAAAATAAACAAATGGGACCTAATGAAACTTAAAAGCTTTTGCACAGCAAAGGAAACCATAAACAAGATGAAAAGACAACCCTCAGAATGGGGGAAAATATTTGCAAACAAATCAACGGACAAAGGATTAATTTCCAAAATATATAAACAGCTCATGCAGCTGAATATTAAAGAAACAAACAACACAATCCAAAAAATGGGCAGAAGACCTAAATAGACATTTCTCCAAAGAAGACATACAGAGGGCCAAGAAGCACATGAAAAGCTGCTCAACATCACTAATTATTAGAGAAATGCAAATCAAAACTACAATGAGGTATCACCTCACACCAATTAGAATGGGCATCATCAGAAAATCTACAAACAACAAATGCTGGAGAGGGTGTGGAGAAAAGGGAACCCTCTTGCACTGTTGGTGGGAATGTAAATTGATACAGCCACTATGGAGAACAGTATGCAGGTTCCTTAAAAAAACTAAAAATAGAATTACCATATGATCCGGCAATCCCACTACTGGGCATATACCCAGAGAAAACCATAATTCAAAAAGACACATGCACCCCAATGTTCATTGCAGCACTATTTACAATAGCCAGGTCATGAAAGCAACCTAAATGCACATCGACAGATGAATGGATAAAGAAGATATGGTACATATATACAATGGAATATTACTCAGTCATAAAAAGGAATGATATTCGGTCATTTGTTGAGACGAGGATGGATCTAGAGACTGTCATACAGAGTGAAGTAAGTCAGAAAGAGAAAAACAAATAGTATATTAACACACATATCTATGGAACCAAACAAACATACAAACAAAAAATGGTCATGAAGAACCTAGGGGCAAGACTGGAATAAAGATGCAGACCTACTAGAGAATGAACTTGAGGATATGGGGAGGGGGGGGCTGGGGATGGTGGTGTGCTGAATTGGGCGATTGGAATTGACATGTATACACTGATGTGTATAAAATTGATGACTAATAAGAACCTGCTGTATAAAAAAATAAATAAAATTCAAAAATCCAGAAAAAAAAAAAAACTCCTCTTAAACTAATCAGATGAAGAAAATTATTTACCAAAGTTGAAATTTTTTTTCACTGCAATCCAAATACTCACAGGTTTTAAATGGATGACAGAACTATTAGACATCACTGTGTGGTCTCCCTCCATCATGTCTAGTTCACTCTTGTCATCCGAGGCATCTGGAAGACTGTTAACACTACTGCTTTGGCTACTGGCACTGATGGACATACTGGGAATAGACTGATTACTTCCAACACTATTCACTGTTCCTGTCCGTCCAACACCATGATCTTGTTCCTAAGGAAAAAGAGCATTAGGTTCAAA